AAAGATGTCGATCCTACGTGAAACCACAAAAGATGTCGATCCTACGTGAAACCACAAAAGATGTCGATCCTAAGTAAAACACTTTATTAGCTTGTAAGATAAGAGACAGAAAATCAATCCTAAGTAAAACACTTTACTAGCTTGTAAGATAACTGATAAAACTTGGATGACAGATCTAAATGACATATGACAGAACTTCTGTAACAAGATGACTGAACTTAGATCCTGTATACTGTACCTTAGATCAGATAACAAAACTCACGATCAGATAACAAAACTCACGATCAGATAACAAAACTCACGATCAGATATCAAAACTCACGATCAGATATCAAAACTCACGATCAGATATCAAAACTCACGATCAGATATCAAAACTCACGATCAGATATCAAAACTCACGATCAGATATCAAAACTCACGATCAGATATCAAAACTCACGATCAGATATCAAAACTCACGATCAGATATCAAAACTCACGATCAGATATCAAAACTCACGATCAGATATCAAAACTCACGATCAGATATCAAAACTCACGATCAGATATCAAAACTCACGATCAGATATCAAAACTCACGATCAGATATCAAAACTCACGATCAGATATCAAAACTCACGATCAGATATCAAAACTCACGATCAGATATCAAAACTCACGATCAGATATCAAAACTCACGATCAGATATCAAAACTCACGATCAGATATCAAAACTCACGATCAGATATCAAAACTCACGATCAGATATCAAAACTCACGATCAGATATCAAAACTCACGATCAGATATCAAAACTCACGATCAGATATCAAAACTCACGATCAGATATCAAAACTCACGATCAGATATCAAAACTCACGATCAGATATCAAAACTCACGATCAGATATCAAAACTCACGATCAGATATCAAAACTCACGATCAGATATCAAAACTCACGATCAGATATCAAAACTCACGATCAGATATCAAAACTCACGATCAGATATCAAAACTCACGATCAGATATCAAAACTCACGATCAGATATCAAAACTCACGATCAGATATCAAAACTCACGATCAGATATCAAAACTCACGATCAGATATCAAAACTCACGATCAGATATCAAAACTCACGATCAGATATCAAAACTCACGATCAGATATCAAAACTCACGATCAGATATCAAAACTCACGATCAGATATCAAAACTCACGATCAGATATCAAAACTCACGATCAGATATCAAAACTCACGATCAGATATCAAAACTCACGATCAGATATCAAAACTCACACTAAATATCAAAACTCACACTAAATATCAAAACTCACACTAAATATCAAAACTCACACTAAATATCAAAACTCACACTAAATATCAAAACTCACACTAAATAACAAAACTCACACTAAATAACAAAACTCACACTAAATAACAAAACTCACACTAAATAACAAAACTCACACTAAATAACAAAACTCACACTAAATAACAAAACTCACACTAAATAACAAAACTCACGATAAGACAACAATACTAAGGCCTACCTGTGTCTGCACCATGTTGGTCCTATGGTGGCGCATTCTGTACACACAGTGGAACACATCGACGCTTCCATCAGCCTCCATCTCGTCCATTAGGTTGCTTAGGGCTATGAATGTCCCTGTGCGACCCACCCCAGCGCTGAAAGGAATGGAGAGGGGTGAATGATAGAGAAATTAATACAGGATGAGTGATAGGGTATTGGCGGTATGAATGCAAGAGGATGTTATGAGTGCTTGGGGGTACTGTGGGAGGTGAATGGTTAAGAGATGAATGGGAGATGAGTAATGATGGAGTGAATGCTAGACGATGTTATGAATGTTGGGAGATTGTATGGGTGAGAAATTAAGATAATATGTACTTGAATAGCGAAGAAATAAATGCAAGAATAATGATTTAATGAATGGATATAATAGAAATGGGAAGGAGACGGGTGACGGATCCAATGATAAGACGATAGATCATATAGGAAGACGAATAATGAAGAAATGAGGACGGAATATGGAGAAAGATGAATAGCGATGAAATGGGTGCAAGGTATCACACACTCACACACACACACACATACACACACAAACAAACACACACACACACACACACACACACACACGTGTGTGTGTGACGCACGCCAATATGATATTAAAATGCACAATATCAGAAAATGATAAATCCTAAGAAAAATAAATCACCTTACTAACTTACATGATGATATAACTTGGATGACAGAACTACGAGAAAAGACTAAAAAATTAAGCTTTAATATCAGAACTTCGATTAGACAGTGGACCTTAGATGACTAACGCAATCTACAGTACCTTCAACTAGATAATCTCAAGAGAGTAATATAACATCCAAATCAAGGCTTTTCTCACCTGCAGTGGATGAGCGTGTGTGAACTCTCCCGAGGGATGGCGGTCCTCACTACCTTGACGAACTGAATTAGCTGATCGGGGGTCTGAGGGCAGCCCATGTCAGGCCACGAAACATAGTGGAAATGCTGGATGACACGACTGCGTGAACCCTGTGGTGGTGTGGACAGTGGCTTCGTTAGCTATGCTATTTAACTAATGTTAAAAGAACCCATATGTCTGATTACGAGGTGATAGAGATATAAACGCAGCAAGAGTTACAGTTCCCTCAGGCTTCTCACCTTGGACAGCTCAAATTTCCTGGTGATGTATCCGCCTGGTTGATGGTTCACCTCGAGCACCGTTCGAACGTGAAGTTTCGTGAATCCGAGACGCCAGCCCTGCACGTTTGATGCCGAGGGCCAGTACGTGCAACACTTATCCTGTGCCAAGGATTTGGAAAGATTTAGATTTTTTTCGTCTCTGTGTGTGTATTTATATCTCTCTCTCTCTCTCTATCTATCTTATATATATATATATATGTATATATATATATATATATATATATATATATATGTATATATATATATATATATATATATATATATATGTATATATATATATATATATATATATATATATATATATATGTATATATATATATATATATGTATATATATATATATATATATATATATGTATATATATATATATATATATATATATATATATATATATATATATATATATATATATATATATATATGTATATATATGTATATATATATATATATATATATATATATATATATATGTATATATATATATATATATATATATATATATGTATATATATATATATATATATATATATATATATATATATGTATATATATATATATATATGTATATATATGTATATATATATATATATATATATATATATATATATGTATATATATATATATATATATATATGTATATATATATATATATATATATATATATATATATATATATATATATATATATATGTATATGTATATATATATATATGTATATGTATATATATATATATATATATATATATATATATATATATATATATGTATATATATATATATATATATATATGTATATATATATATATATATATATATATATGTATATATATATATATATATATATATATATATATATATATATATGTATATATATATATATATATATATATATATGTATATATATATATATATATATATATATATGTATATATATATATGTATATATATGTATATATATATATATATGTATATATATATATATATATATATATATATATATATATGTATATATATATATATGTATATATATATATATATATATATATATATATATATATATATGTATATATATATATATATATATATGTATATATATATATATATATATATATGTATATATATATATATATATATATATATATGTATATATATATATATATATATATATATATATATGTATATATATATATATATATATATATATATGTATATATATATATATATATATATATATGTATATATATATATATATATATGTATATATATATATATATATATGTATATATATATATATATATATATGTATATATATATATATATATATATATGTATATATATATATATATATATATATATATGTATATATATATATATATATATATATGTATATATATATATATATATATATGTATATATATATATATATATGTATATATATATATATATGTATATATATATATATATATATATATATATATATATATATATATATATATATATATGTATGTATGTATTAGTTGTATCTTGTTTTTAAGACATTATTAGAACCTTCATATCCTTATCTTGATTTGTTTTTCATTAGTTCTTTTTCCGTTTCCCTTTCCCTTTTCCCATCTGCACGTACTACGTACCTTGTTAGCCTCCACACACTGGGTGACCATGACGATGACGTGGACGTTTTTCTCCCACACCAACCTCCAAAAGTCTTCTTTTAGTTCCTCCTTGGGTCCCTGGCTAGCTATAAACTCCTTTGGCTTAATGTATCCCTGTGGAGAGGAACACGTCAGTATAAAGCTATTGTGTTTAAAATGAGGGGGGGGGGGTTGTGGCTAGTATTATAAACGGTATTGTTGTAAGGAATACAAAAGTGCAGTGCTACTGGCTCTTGAAGAAAAGAAAAGAAAAATACGGTGTCTAAAATATTAAACGTTGGCGTGACTGGGTCAGGCAATCTATAATACAATGCGATTGTTTCTTAAAATGATAAAACAGAAACATTGTTCCCAATATCCAATATATGTGACATCTCTATAACTCAATAACTATTAATTACTGCAGACTAAGTAGCATGTACTTACGTGGATGTAAGAGGCATTGATATAATCACTGCCGGGGATTCCCCTGTACTCATTCAGAATTACACGGCTGTCATCAACTGAGAGGGTAAAACACACAAGATTCTTTCGTTACTCATGTGAATTTGCGTTTAACAGCTTCCCCCATCCCCTCAGAAGAAATACAGTTAAAATAAAAAGGTAGCTACGATTCATTACCAACGTCACATGACATGTTCGTAATGCATGTTCCCCATGGTATGCTAGACTTTGTCTTTCTGAAGGACAGTAATTCCTCTATCCATGCAATCGAAGCAAAGTGCAAGTGGCTCCATGGGTCACTGGTTAAAAACTAATAAAATTATGATGTAGCATAGTCACTATCATAACTACTTCTGGACTGATAAAAGATATCCTCACCAAATCATTGAATTATGTTGTACCAGAGCAGATGATATAAGTCTACCTCACAAAATAGTATAGTACTTCAACGTCATCACAAATACCAATCCTATCACGCAAGTTGGTATAAAAATTATCGTAGAAAGAACTGCATATTATACGCACACGGCAGGATGTTGATGTAACGGTTCTTATAATCGTTGATGCCGAGACTTGCATGGTGTGTGGACTTTGCTGGACTGATGGATTTGAGTTCATTGTACTCCAAGATAAGTTGCTGGCCTCCTATCGAATGCAAGATCGTGTTAGAAGTCTATCTTACTCAAATATTATCATGATCACACACAAAAATCACCGTTGTTTTTTCCGATATTTTACGTCTAAAAAAAAAGAAAGTATAGCGATTTCTGCACCACTCACCATCCTTGTGGAGTTCAGTGACTGTATCGAGGAGGTTGCTGACCAGGATCCGTCTCTCGGTGGCGACGTCTGGGGGGTAAGTGACTACCAGAGGAAGCTCCATGGAAGTGCTTGCTTTGCTGCGGGACAGGAAGAGTTGCTGTGTGCTAAATACACACATACACGTGTGTGTGTGATTATGTGTGATACATAAAAAAGTTATATTTCTGTGAAGCCATCGCATGTATATCAAGTGTGAACATGGAGTAAGTTTCAGGTGGACATACACATGAGAGAATAGGCGATTTTTGTAGAGCATGACAACAGCAGCGACAACCAGTGCGATCACTAATATCGTTAAACAAGCCTTCAGTGTAGCGCTGATTGGGGCATCTGAAAGAGAATAAACTGAAATATGATACTCTATCTCTTTTCACACACACACACACACACACATATTCACACGTACGCATATACATTGTGTGTGTGTGTTTATATATATATATATATATATATATATATATATATATATATATGTATATATGAATATATATATATATATATATATATATATATATATATATATGTATATATGTATATATATATATATATATATATATATATATATATATATATATATATTGGGTAAATCAAACCTAGATGCGATAGTGGGTGAATCTATTGTATATATGATGGTGAGTTGAGAACCACCAACTACTCAACTACAACTATTTCCCTTGGGAGGGATTATTGGTCAGCCACCCCATTATAAAGACCCAGTTAACTACATGATGTCAACATGGCGTAGTTAATCAAACACCGCATGGTTATGGCACAGATATGAATGAATATGTTGTCTTTGGCAGGAAGTTAAACTGCACCCTAGGTTTCAAGGATAGGACACTATGAGCAGGGCAGTGGTTTCTGCGTTTATCAATATAACTGGTAGTTCACGGCATATGCAGTATATGTCTGGCGGACGTTTAGTCCTACTGAACAAACGGCAGAGGCAGCATTCCTTGTTAGATAGAACTGCGAGCAGAGAAAATACTTGGGGCCTTTACTTTAATTACTTGATGGCCCCCGACCACATCCCAGATATGATTGAGATCGGCCCAATGATCATATGAAATATTATATATATATATATATATATATATATATATATATATATATATATATATATATATATATTCATTTATAAACACATGCATATATAAACACACACACATATTATAGATATATTCATTTATAAACACATACATATATAAATACACACACTCATACATATTATAGATAGATATGTGTATTATATATATATATATATATATATATATATATATATATATATATATATATATATATATAATATATATATATATATATATATATATATACATATATATATATATATATATATATATATATATATATATATATATACATATATATATATATAGTATATTCATATACATGAAATAACGTACGCAATAACGTAACCCGTCTCGGTAACGTGATTAGAACTAGAGAATAGCAACTTGCCTTCAGTCTGGAATCTGCAAATTTCGGATCTCTTCTCTCTTTCAGTGGTGGAGATCCTGATGGCGAATTTGTACATAGTCCCGGGCTCTAAATCTTCTGCAGGAGGATAGAGAACTGTAAGGGATTCTGGCGTGTAAAGTGATACAGACTTATTTGATTATTCGTTTAGTTTAGTTTAATTTTTTTCTTTTATATTTCTATTTCATTACGTATTTTATTTCACTACGACTTTTATTCTATTTAATTATATTTTCCTTGTTTTTATTTTACGACGTCTCTTATTATTTTATATTATTACGTCTATTATTATTATTCTATTATTCTATTTTATCTATTCTTTTTTATTACGTCTTTTACTCTTTCAATCCATTGCGTCTTTTATTATTCCTTTACTATTTTATTTCATTTTGTCTTTTATTATTTTATTTTATTACGTTTTATTATTGTTTTATCAATACGTCTTCTATTCTTCTATTATTCTTATTTAATCATTAAGTCTTTTATTCTTCCGTTTTATTTAATCATTAGCGTCTTTTATTCTATATTATTAACTCATTACGTCTTTTATTCTTCCGGTTTATTTTATCATTAGTGACTTTTATCATATTTTATTTAATCATTACGTATTCTATTCTATTTTATTTAATAATTATGTCTTTCTTCTATTTCATTTATTCATTATATTCATTCCACTTTATTTAATCATTACGTCTTCTATTTCATTTATTCATTACATTTATTACACTTTATTTAATCATTACGTCTTTTTTTTCTTCTATTTTATTTTCCACAGGACTTACCGAATGCGAACAAGGACTGGTTCTTCGGGAGCGGTGATTTCACGTCAACTACTTTCAGCTTTTCGTTAGCTTTAGCGAATAATATTTCTTGCTTCCTGTAAATGTTGAATGCGTCTAATAAATGGTAATTTCATTTTCGCGACACACACACACACATATACATATACATAAACACACACACACATATATACACATACACACACACACACATATACATAAACACACATACACACACACACACACACACACACACACACACACACACACACACACACACACACACACACACACACACACACACACACACACACACACACACACACACACACACACACACACACATGCATACGTACATACATACATATATAAAATACAATATATATATATATATATATATATATATATATATATATATATGTATATATATGTATATATACTTAGAATAGTTGCCCCTTACCTGATTTTGCCATTGCTTTCATCGAAGGTAGAGGAATTGATATGAATGACGTATCTCTGGTAGATTTTCTGATTGTGACCGCACCAGGGTTCTCCCGTAAAGAAGGGAGCTGTGCAAGGGAAAGACTAGCTAGAAGACCTCCTGAACACGGGCCGAAATTGACTCGTTGCTCACCAAAGGAAAAACGGTGACGAGGAGTCCAGTCAATATTTATGGGCACACGTTATATCAAATTTAAAAATATATATCTAATAATAACAGAAAAAAGGTAGACACAATGGCGCAAGTGAGTATAACAAGGCTTACGTACTGCCGCTATTGGTCGTAGTTTGTTTACAATTTTTCTGACCATATTTATTGGGTTCCTTGTTCCTCGCCTTCACACAGATGCTGTAGGAAAACGGAGGAGAATCTGTGTACTGTTTCGCAGCTAATCATTAGAATTAATCTTATCACACAACCTTCTAGTGGGTTTAAAATGAATTTATCTGATACAGCATTAAATCCTCGTGTTATTTCCAAACATACTACAATATAGTATATATATATATATATATATATACTTAGAATAGTTGCCCTTACCTGATTTTGCCATTGCTTTCATCGAAGGTAGAGGAATTGATATGAATGACGTATCTCTGGTAGATTTTCTGATTGTGACCGCACCAGGGTTCTCCCGTAAAGAAGGGAGCTGTGCAAGGGAAAGACTAGCTAGAAGACCTCCTGAACACGGGCCGAAATTGACTCGTTGCTCACCAAAGGAAAAACCATGACGAGGAGTCCAGTCAATATTATGGGCACACGTTATATCAAATTAAAAAATATATATCTAATAATAACAGAAAAAAGTAGACACAATGGGCGCAAGTGAGTATAACAAGGCTTACGTACTGCCGCTATTGGTCGTAGTTTGTTTACAATTTTTTCGACCATATTTATTGGGTTCCTTGTTCCTCGCCTTCACACAGATGCTGTAGGAAAACGGAGGAGAATCTGTGTACTGTTTCGCAGCTAATCATTAGAATTAATCTTATCACACAACCTTCTAGTGGGTTTAAAATGAATTTATCTGATACAGCATTAAATCCTCGTGTTATTTCCAAACATACTACAATATAGTATATATATATATATATATATATAGATATATATATATATATGTATATATACTTAGAATAGTTGCCCTTACCTGATTTTGCCATTGCTTTCATCGAAGGTAGAGGAATTGATATGAATGACGTATCTCTGGTAGATTTTCTGATTGTGACCGCACCAGGGTTCTCCCGTAAAGAAGGGAGCTGTGCAAGGGAAAGACTAGCTAGAAGACCTCCTGAACACGGGCCGAAATTGACTCGTTGCTCACCAAAGGAAAAACCATGACGAGGAGTCCAGTCAATATTTATGGGCACACGTTATATCAAATTAAAAAATATATATCTAATAATAACAGAAAAAAGTAGACACAATGGCGCAAGTGAGTATAACAAGGCTTACGTACTGCCGCTATTGGTCGTAGTTTGTTTACAATTTTTCTGACCATATTTATTGGGTTCCTTGTTCCTCGCCTTCACACAGATGCTGTAGGAAAACGGAGGAGAATCTGTGTACTGTTTCGCAGCTAATCATTAGAATTAATCTTATCACACAACCTTCTAGTGGGTTTAAAATGAATTTATCTGATACAGCATTAAATCCTCGTGTTATTTCCAAACATACTACAATATAGTATATATATATATATTATATATATATATATAGATATATATATATATATAGATATATATATATATATATTTTTTTTTTTTTTTTCTAGTAAAGGTTATGAATGAGAATGAACATCTTCACAATACAAGAGATGTATTTTACCGGTTTCGAAATTTTGATATAATCGAAACCATACATTTGTCAACATGAATACGGTTTATTTATGTTTCTTTCCTCTTAGAATTGTAATTTCAGACATATTCCTACAACTACTTTTTTTTTATTCAAGGAACATGTCGTTCGTAAAGCTGAACTATAGCATTACATGGAATATCAGTAAATGTGATGACATACTTCATGAGCAAAGATCGAGTTTAGTTGTCATGCAAGGCTTTTATCTTACCACCAGGTAAAGTCTCGAAATAGTCCGGTATACACAGGCAGGAATTTGAGGGTACGTTTACAGTGTTTCCATCACCAACGGCGGGAGTGACACTGGATTCTCCGGGGCAGTCTTTACTAGTGCAATTCTCACCAAGATACTGTTGCCAGTATGTATAATTCGTATAGGGTTTCAGCCCAGTGATGTGAACCTTGTGAGAACAATTTGCTGTTTCCGGCCTGAAAAGGTATGGGTAAATTTGTGAGATAATTTTCTATTACTGATGACTTTGTTACTGTTGTGGTGTAGTGTCTAGAAAACAAAATGTGACCTTGCACTGCTTATTTACTAAAATATTCTGATTGTTTACTAACAAAGCCGTGCTATATTAAAATTTTGGTCAATTTTCCATACCAGTTGACATCTTATTAGCTACAATTTGTTTAAATTAGCAGGGCAGTTTAAAATAAATTGCCATTTTCCGTTGGATAGGAAATTCTAATTTATCCTATAAATTACCTGGTGTTTCTGTACCTTTTGCAAGTGGTTATTATTGACAGGAATGCCCGCTAAGGGTTCCTCCGACATAAAAAAAAGAAGAATCCCGTGTCTCATTACACACACATGAAAAATATTTTTGAATATCTTTGAATAACACGAAAGAAAATCCATGCAAAATCTTGATATGAATGTAAACTTAAAAGAAAGTTGTTATTTTCCCCATAATAACACATTCTCCAATGCTCTTATTTCAGTTTAAACCGAAACAAGCCCAACCCTATACCATTCCCAAGCTTGGATAAAGGAGGAGGGTTAGTACAGACAGGAGAACAGGCAATTCTAAAACAGGTGGTGGAGCTGACGAAGAGGAAGAGGGCTAGAATATTGTGTGTGCAGGAGGCCAAATTGGGAGGCAACAAGGAGGAGGAATCAGGAAGTATAAACTAGCCAGTGGTGGTGCAACAGCAAGGGGAACGAATGTAGTTGGAAAAGTGATATAGCAGAAAATGAAAGAATATGCCACAGAGGTGAAGAGAGGAGGGGATAGTTTGAGACAGTGAGGCTGGTATATGAAGAATGTACAATAAATGCATATATTCAAGGTTCACTCTCACCTTTCATGAAAACGATAATTCCTACATAGACAATATGTATCAGACTCAGGCGGTGGTAGCAGTATAGGTGGGCGAGATAAATTTAGGATGGATGTACGGAGTAAGAAAGGGGGTGACAGTAGCAGCAGTGCAAGGATGAGAGGGATTTTGTTCGTCAAAGCTGAGATGGTATGGGCATGCTGTATGGAGCGATAGAGGAAGTGATAAGAAAAGATGATAGAAGTCCTGCAAGGGAGGGGAAGATCCAAGAGAAGATGGAATGGTTATATGGCAATGGATATGAGAGAGGAAGGCTTAAATAACAATATGGTAGTCGATTGAAGCAAGTGGATGCAACTAATAATGACCGGGTTAGTAAAGCTGACGAAGAGGAAGATATTTTTATTCTAGTCGTTTTAGTACTTACGTGGTCGGGGTCCCATTAAATAATATGGAATATGTACCAGGCACTGTGTAGGGACAGTTGATTTTCCACTGAAAATCCACGCTTTTTCGTTTCACTGATGTAGTCACATTTGGGAAACGAAGCACTTCTAGAATGGTTATAGAAATTTAGTTGAAAAGAATACCTACTACTTCTAATAAGATAATGCTAATATAACAACAAGAAGGATGACTATTATAATAATAACAATAATGATATCAACAATGGATCGGCACAAAATCCACTTTTTTAATCTAACAGTGGGTCCCAACCGATGTGTTGATGGGTTAGCAGGGGTCACCTAGTGGGCAATATTGTAGGCCAATTTTCTAGCCGTTTGCCAGTTTATTTATTTATTTTTTATTTATTTATTATTATTATTATTTTTTTTTATTTTTAAGTTTTGCCAGTGTTAAAGTTTTCATATTATCTTATGAAGCCATGTGTTCAGAGAATAAGATTTTTCTAATCTCATGGTACCCCCCCCTCTTTTGCTTG